TCAGTGCGCGCTTGCTTGTATCAAGGAAACTTTTGGCCTCTAGCCTTCTGTCGACATCAGCAAAGGAAATTATTTCAGGTTGGAATGGCGAGAATGCTTTTCCCATCTTGGAATTTTCTTGGATGCTTTCAACACAGTCTGCACACAGCCTTTATCTAAATGGGATGATGTTCGTGGTTCTTTGGTGAAGCTATTTTCTAAACGAGAGGATGGTACTGTGTATAATATGGAAATTCCAAATATCGTGGTCGAGGCAATGGTGAAACTTCTGGGTTTCATTGGCTCCAACGAAAATGAATCTTCCAGGGAGATGGTCTCATATGAAAACATCGTTCAGTTTCTCCTTCCAGGCTTTTTGACCAAAGATGGGGACTTATCAATGGCTTATATTGAGCTCAGCACCGGAGAGAAACTATCAATTCTATCGAAGGAGCAACAAGACTGTCTCATCAGCACAAAGGATGCGCGACTGGTTAAAGCTGGTGAGCTTGTGCTAAACGTTCTCTTAGCTACTTATATTGTTTTCCCTTCCTTGCAGGACTCATGGATATGGACGCTCGTCTCAAGGTTGATGCCTTAATCAATCTACACGTATCGGTTGAAGCAAGGGAGTGTCTGCTTGAGGAACTTTCGAGGCTTTCCGAATCAAGGTAGTAAGGCCTTTTTGTATCTAGAGTACTTGACTATTGCGTTCATGCAGTGTGAAAAACATACTTCAGCCCCTATCCACCTGGGAGCGTCTATGGATTTCTGGATGTTTTCCAAAGATCGAGGAGCCGGGAACGAGTCCATTCTTGAAGAGTATCTGGTATGGCTTTGTGTTCTTATGTATAATCTATAACTCGTATTTGTTTCAGTGAGCTGAAAGAAAACGTAAACGCGCAATGGCTGTAAAGATCGGACTCTGGTTAAAGTTCTTGAAACTGTAGAGTGGACCACACTCAGGTACTTTAATAGGTGACATTATCGAAGGTGAAAGGGCCAACGATTTTATTGCAGCTTCACTCATCAGCAACATGCCGGAGGTTTGGACTAGCTCGGTTTCTTTTGCTTTCCCAATTGTTGAAATTTTTTTTCTTGCTTTCATTCCAGATTGTGGAGCTCAAAGTGGCAATGTCCTGTCAGGGATGTGTTGGTGCAGTGAAGCGAGTCCTTGGCAAGCTGGAAGGTTTGTTACTCCATTTTTGCTGCTCGAAAGCTTCTAGATCGACTCTGTTGGTTTCGCAGGAGTGGACAAATTCGAGATTGATCTCAAGGAGCAAAAAGTTTCGGTGACAACGAGCAGCCTCAAGCCGGAACAAGTGCTAGAGGCGGTGTCAAAGAGTGGAAAGGCGACCTCGTACTGGCCGGAGCCTCCAAAGGGAGATGCAAATCCCCCAAAAGAAGTAGCCCCAAAAGAAGTGTCTTGAGCAAAGAGTTGAAACTATTGTAACTACTTTTACTTTGATTTTTACTTTGTTTCTTGGATCGAAGGAATGTTCCTCGGTGTATTTGGCATTTCCTTAGAAAAGTATGTGGCATTTATAATTGATGGTTGCTTGCCAAGGGAAAGAGTAAGTTTTCTTCTTGTTCGATGAGGAGAGCTAGCGCCCAGGCGCTGTACAGCAATCGCACGGCGCGCGCGCTCCATAATCTCCCCTCCAGGCGCCGGTCGTCCCGCCTCAATCGCGTAAGTCTCTCGTTTCCTCCTCGATCGAGCTCTACAATGCCGACCTAAATCCCGCAGCAAGCCTTTGTCATTGCTCTCGTCGCGCTCTTCGTCCTGTGCTCGATCGGCCTCGTAATCTGCTGGAGCTTCGTCTTCCCCGACGACGCGACGCGGATTTCTGGTAGCAAATCGGGGCCCCGGGTGTCAAGGATCGCGTTTGGATCGTCTTCTTCTCACGATTACAGCGCTCAGCCGGTCTGGGTCCATGGGATCATTCCAAGCGATCCTCACGCATGGATATGGTAAGAGAATGGATCATTTTCGGTGTTTTAGCTAGAAACAATACTTTCCAGGCTCGGTAATATGGCTTACTTGGATGAAGCTCGAGTGAACTGCGATGCTTCTCCAAATCACTACCAGTGCAATTGCTCGGCAGATTGGCTGAGACAGCCTCCACATTTTTGTATGACAGGTGAGAACTTGCGAGTTTAGATTTTAGAAACGTTCTCTCTTTTATCATAGTCTATTTGATTCGATGCATTCTTCTGTTCTAGGTGACTTGGAGCATGCCGCCAGCAAGATGCAAGTTCAGCTTGCCAATCCAGACTATGCGCAGGCAAATCTTTTTTGCGAACTTTTCTTTCCATTTTTTTTCTCATTGACAAGGCGAGCGCTCCGATTTTTTTACAGTTTCTCGCGTTCATGTGTCCTGGACATCGAGAAAAAGGCTTGTTTCCTCCTCCCGGTGCTGATCCAGCAGTGTGCCCGAAAAGGATATTTGGAACATATAGTGACCACGACTATGGATGGTAATGAAGCTAAAGGCTCTGCTGCTTTACTGATATATGTCTGTTTATACAGGAGGCATGGAAATAAGCGGCTGCCTCAAAAGGATGCCTTGAAACAAGTTTTCTTAGATGCTCTTGGGGAAAGTCTTGACAGCCCTCGGAGGAATGGTGGTCGTGGAATAGAATGGAAGGTACTATAAAATTTAACAAACGTTTGAAGGACATAGATAAGCTTTTTTTGTCTTTCCAGTACACGCTGAATCAAGAAAGTAAAGGCTATGAGATTGATGTCATCCTTTTAGACACTCGATACTATCGTGATCCGCTACCATGCCACACTAAAAGAGCATTTTGCAAGGACATTACAAGGACAAAAACTTCTCCTGAGCATCGTGCATGGTAAGTTTTTTTGGTTCGCAAGCTGTTCACATTGCATTTACAGGTGTGAGGATTTTCTCGGAGGAGAGACTGGGATGGGGAGTTGCTGTGGCAAGGATAGTCTGTTCTTGAATGGTCTGCAGTGTATTTTTCTTTCACTTTACTTATGTTGTCCTTTACAGAATCAGAGCTGCCTAAGTTATTGTCAAACTCTAACTTCTGCGACGTTCTTGGAAACCATCAAAGAAATTGGCTGGAAACCACTTTGCTGCAGTCAAATTCACCTGTAAAGCTAATAGTGTCAAGTTCATCTGTTCTAGCAGCTGATGACGAGGTAAGACTGGGTTTGTTCTTTTCCACACTTGACAAGGCTTTTCAAAAAAGGCTAGCAGCTCTTGTTCTTTAGACAACTGGGACTGCTACACAGCTGCACAGATGAACCTCCTTGAGCTTCTTACAAAAGCTTCGGGGTGTGTCATCATCCTGAGCAGTGGTTTAGAACACTCTCGTATCCGAGTACGTCCACTGATTTGGTTTCGTGGTATTTTATCGACTCGAAGCTCCTGGTTTTGAAGGTCTTAAGGCCAGGATTGCAAGCCCGATACGGCGGACTCACATTCCCTCGTGCCCTTTATGAGGTAGCACTCAGTGGTTTGACAAACACCAGTGACAAGAGTTTGAGTTGTGACGGTGAGTATCTTCTAAGTTTTGCACTACAAGTTTAAAAGTTATAATATTGCAGAAGTGGACTGCGGACCATCTTTCGGTATGATTGAGGTAATTTTTGTCATCCATCAACTGTATGAAGATTTTAATATTTGTGTGATTTAAACAGATTGAAAATGGAATGGTTAAACTTCAGAGTCGAGATGGAATGTCAGGCCAGGTAAAGCTAGAATCGGCCTTTCCGCTTGCAACTTGCTATGCGTGAAGCTTGCCGACGACCTAGCGGACCCTTTTGTCCCTCCAGTTTGTCGAAATTTGCTATCGTAGGCACTACTTGTTCTTCTGCTATCACTTTTTTCTGTCGGTACTTCAGTCACTCAGCGGAACCGTACCTGATGATCAGGTTCTAGCAGAAGCATGTTTGATTGTTATCTTTATTTTCACATTCTTTGATTCGCAGGCAACCATAATGCTTCCATGAATCGAAAGTGATTCCCTGGTTTCTGACGATATCGTGTAAGGCCACGTTTTGTTTTTTCTCATGTTAAGGCTGTCTCTCTGTTATGACGCTGAATTTTATAGACAATGTTATAGTGAAGCTGACGGAGAGAATGCTTTACGGGAACATGCTCAGCATCACGGTCTTAACTGAAAGATCTGTCTCGGCGGAGTTAGTCCTATGGCTGGGGGAAGGATCTGTGCCCGGAGTTGATCCTGGCAAGATCAAACAGTAAGAAAGCTCCAAAGCTTTCTCCAAAACTTTCATATTGGTAAGAGAGTTCAGTTCTTTTCTTTTATCAGTTTTGCAACCTTGGTTCCAGGGACGATATGCTATATTACTTTGTCTAGTAAACGAGGATTTGAACGGCTCTTATATCCTACAGAGTTTGTCTCTTATAGAATCTTCGGTTAAAAGCGATGGCGAACAGAAACTTGTCAAGGACATCAGGAAAGAAAGGAGATTATTATTACCTGTATACTGACTATGTATGTGTGCATGCAGGCAATGGGAATGCAGGCGGAAATGAACAAGCTGGACTGAGGGTCGTCCTGGGTGAGAGGTCGTTTGCCAGAGATAAATAAGTTTTCTCCGTATGGCCTTACTACATGATTGATATGTTTTTTCGTTCTTCAGATGACTATTCTGTTTCCAACGAAGCAAACCGAGTTGTCCAAAGCTAATTATATTCTACGCCACGTCAAGAGGCTTTCTTCTCCGAGTGTCGTAGTTCCATCGGCGGGCCCTTATGGATCGAGCCATTGCCGATCATTTCGACAGACCGTAAGGAACATAACCAGGGTGGTTTCTAATGAAAAACCAGAGGTGAAGAGAATCCTTTGTTGTTGTTTCTGACTGCCTGGAGGTTTTGTTTTGCTCAGATACATGAAGTATTGGAGGAGATTAATCAATTTAAGCAAATTTAATCTTTTTTAACAACTGTGCTTGGTTTTTGTTTGTCGTGCTATACTCTCATAGTACCGGTACATAAGGTACAGCGGAGGTTTCACGTTTTCTCAACAGCTGTTTTACACTGAAATCAGCTGAAAAAAAATCCTGTCTTCATACGTGTTGTCTTGTGGCTCCTTGCATCAGTGTTTGGATGGAGATCAGCAGCTCATCTGGTTCTCAGACTCAGAGTATGCCAAGATTGGTCCATAAGTTTTTCTCTGACTCCGTGCTTTTGTTTGATAGATCTTCCATTACCGGATATTGAAAAGAACGACTCTGACTACAGTCTCCCACCGCCGATAAAGTCGAAGCAGCAGCAGCAACTAACTGCTTGTGTTCCATGGGGAAAACGCGTCGAAGAGCTTCCCGGATTTCTGGAGGCCATGACCGCTGCAAAAGAGCGTCAAACCCGGCTCGGCCCGGAC